TGAGTGACTTTCCCCCGCCCTCCACCCCCACACCCACCTACCCAGCTCCCCACACGGCCCCTTTCCCCTCCCTCCACCCACAGACTGGGAAAGTGTGTCACCGGGAACAAATGCCATCTTCCCAGGAGGGAGGAGGAGGAGTAACGGGAAGAAAAAACTTTGATCACGTGCCTGTGGGGGCCAGGGTAAGAAACCAGGGGTTTCTGAGCTTCCAGCAGTGAGGGACGCCCCACCAAAACCATGACCTTGACATTGGCCTCCCCTTCTCAAAGGGTTCAAGATAACCCGTAGGGCAGGAGCCACAGGCCACCATGCTCAGGGCTATTTGGCCAGAAGGGCCTGGAGAAGAGGTCCTGAAGATGCAGGGGAAATCTTCCAACCACAAGCATCCTCTGACCCATTAGGCGGGCCCATCATGGCTGCTGACACCCCAAACTTCTCATATCACCACATCCTGGCTTAGAGGGAACTACTGACCTGCTCTTACCTCCCTCCTCCAGCTCTCCGCAGACAAGTCAGCTTCCAAGGGTTAATCTGCTGGCTTCTCTCCCATGCAGTCATCCCCCCTGAGCTGCCACATGCCAGCAATGATGCACTTCACACTGTTATTACAGTGATTTATTTAGTTCTAATTTGGGGGTAAATCTCATGCTGTAAGAAGCAGGAGGCCAATAGTCTTGGCAAGAAGCAAAGCCACACGCGGGCCCACACTGTGCTGATCTCGTCCCCTCTGCCTGGGGTCCCTCCATCCCAACTCTGCTCCTCCTGGCCAGCAGCCTGCTCCTGATTCCAGCCCTAAATTGGGCTTCCCTTTCGCATAATATCCCCCATTTTGGAGGAGATATTCTTCAGTGGAAAGGGCGTCCATAACGGTGTCTATGCTCCCCTCCAGTGTGATCCGTCCTCACCCAGAGAGTGAGTTGGTAAAGCCCCTCCAGGCCAGGCTGTCATCAAGGAGTGGAACATCTTTGGCCAGATGCTGGGCACCTCTATATTAAGGGACCAATAGCCAGGGCCAGCTCCACGCAGATCAGAGAGTATGGAACATCTGGTCTTTTTGAAACCTTGGCCCCTGCTCTCCGTCCTGCCCTGAGTAGCCTAAGGAAGCTGTCACTTGTTCGTCCATTGGTTCATTAAACAAACACTGGCACCTACTAAATACCAGATACTGTTCTGGTGCTGTAGATACAGGTAATAGAACCACCATGGTCTTCACCCTCAAAGACTTTAGTACTTACAGTGAAACCACCTAGATGCAACTAACCAAGCCACAAGATACACAAGTGGAGGGAGCAAAGTTATGCAGAGGGTCAGAGAAGATTTCACAGGAAAGCGGGGGTTTGGCTGGGATGGATAGATGGACAAATGACTAGAAACACAAGGAATCAGTTTCCAGAAAGAGAATGGAATAAAGACATTCCAGTCAGCCAAAAAGCACAAGCACTGAGGGCCAAGGGTGCATAGTGGTCTGAGATAGTAGTGCAATGTGACCAGAGCATAGGGAAATAACAACGACAGTAATAGCTAATATTTTTGAGCATTTGCTCCAGTCAGGGGCTGCACTCAGCACTCTGTATTCATTATCTCTTCTAATCCTCACAACAGTTTTACAAGGTTGACACTATGCCCCATTTTGCAGATAACGAAAGTGAGGAGCTGGATAAATAATCTGTGACTGGTCCAAGCCCCTGGCTCCAAAGCCCATACTCCAAAGCCACTGTGTCCCACCCAGTTAGAGTAATGAAAGAGCTAGGCAGGTTGAAGTGGATGGGGTGGACCTTGAAAGCCCTGCAAAAGCTTTTATTTTAGGGTACATGGGAGGCATCGAAGGTTGAAAACTAATCTCAGAAAAGGCATCAACTGATCAAGACTTGACTTTAAAATTATTTTTGCTCAGAAAAACGCTAGAAGAGCCAAATGATTCTCTCTCAAAGAGGAGAATTTCAAACAGAGTAATAGATGATGTGAGAGAGGAAGTTTTTAAGAAGATATTTCTGAGGTACCCTCAAATTATAGCACACAATTTGTATGGCTAGGCCTGACTGGCAGACAGCTCAGCAACCTGCAGACGGCTCCTCAAACCCTCCCTCCCTGTCCCCAGAAGCAATACAGCCAGAACTGGTCAGCGAGGGCCCATGCCACTGTGCCCGCACATCCTGCAGGTCACTAGTATGAATCCAAAAAAATGTGACCAGGACTCTGGACAGAAGGGCCCTTTGCCCCCTTCCTCTGTTGCCCCAGCGGGGCAGAATAAAGATCGGAAAAGGGAGGTTTGAGGAGGCAAGTTTTAGCACTTAGGAGGAAGCACTTTTACAATTAAGGCAACTGAAAAAGAAAAGACCAGTGTGGGCAGCAGATGAGAGAATAAGCTTCCTATCACTAGAGGTAATCAAGCAGAGGCTGGAGGACTGCCTGCCACAGACGTCCCGGAAAAACCAGTGCACTGAATGACTTGAACAGCTTACTGACAGCATCACTGAGCAGTGCGCTGGAATCACTTATGGAAGTATCCTTGGACACTTTACCTTACCACCTAAGCCTCCATCCCTCGTCTGCAAAATGGGGTTAATAACAGTACCTACCACGTATGTTTGCGTGAGGGGTGAGATGATGCAAGAAACATAGCACAGCTGTCGGCACGCAGTAAACCCTCAATAATTGATAGATATTACTAGGTTGAACCATAGAAATCAAATTAGGTTGCAGGTCAAAACCAATAGAATATGAACTACTTCATGTGGTTCAATGAATGTTTTTTTACAGAGGGCCACTGAGGTTCTTTCTAACAGCTTTGCTTTCAGCACTGAAAGCTCCAGTAAAGTGTGGTTCCACACCAGTGGTGGGTCCCCAGCACCTGGCAGAGAGAACTGCCAGGGCCTTTTCAGAAGCATCCACTGCCAGGGCCCAGCCCTCCCAACAGATGGCTACCTCTTTGCCCAGGTCCTCGCGGATGACCTGGCGGACCTCTTGCATGCTGCTCTGTGGGGCCTGGCTGTGTAGCACCTTCAGCGTGCTGGTGTACTCCTGGGGCAGCAGGTAGTCTAGGGCCCCCAGGTGCTGGCCCACCTTGATGAAGGTGCCCCGGTTGGCACAGCAGAGCTCACAGAGACGCCTGGCAGAACGGAGGTGCACCTGCAAGGAGAGAGACCAGGACCAGAGAGGTGTGAGCACACAGTGTCCACTGGACATTGTTCCCTTTTGCTGCCCCTTCTGCTTGAAAACCCTGATTTATTCGCCAGTGTACACGTGAACACACACACCCCACCCCACCCCACCCGGCCCCGCTTCATTCACCTTCCCTCTCAATGTTCTCCTTTAGTCTCGGTACCCAGAGCAGTTGATTCCAGCCTCACCCTGAGGCCAGCCTTCTCATGTGGCCTGATGCTTCTGATCTCTTTTCCATCAAAACTTCCCTAGTCTGGGTCCCACTCCCTCAGAAACGAGTGTTTGTTCAAGGCTTTTCACCAAATCTAATCTACTAATGATTCATTCAAGGATATATCGAATTAATGTACTAGCCACCCAACCCTGACAAACTAATAATACTATATTTCCTTTCGAGGCCTATAATTTATAAAACATGGTCATATACATTATTTCTTTTGATCCTTACAGCAGCTCAGGGAGGCAGGTATTGGTATCTTTAAAGATAAACTCAGATGTTCAGCTTATAAAAAAAATAGCTAATAAATGTCAAAAGAGGTCTAGAAAACACTCCCAACTCAGAGCTCTTTTAACTCGGTAAACTTTTGCAGTGGTCTCCTATTAACTGGAGTTAAAATTTTACTGGAACATGGAGTAGGCAGCCGGGCAAGTTGTCTATGACAGGGCAGCCTTAACTAGTGGCCCATCTCCTTCCACAGCTTGGAAATGGCCCCATCTGCCCCTAGGTTGTACATCCCCAGTCATCATCCCAGCTCAGCTGAGGGTCCTGTCTTCTTGGAGCTACAGCTTCTGAGGCAGGATTAGGCTGTGGGTACACACAGAAGACAAGGGAGCCCCGTGCCCTGTGGGAACCTGGTACCTTCTTCCACCCATGAAGTCAACCAAGAGATGGTTAACATCTGTGATGGACTCTTAAGTGCTATGAAAGATGCTGACATAATTAAGTGCATCTTGTAGGCAATAAACCACGTGAAGAATTAAATAACAGTTGGCAAACAACATGGAAGAAATGTTCAAAGATCCTGTATAATTAGTTGCCAAGTGAACCATACAGAAAACCGTTACTTTAGAAATTAAGAAGAGAACACTGCAGCCTTGAACACCCTTGTCCCAGCAGCCAGGATGCCCATCTGCCCCCTCCCACCACAGCAGAGCAGATGCCCCAGACTCCGGACACTAGCAGGATATCCTTAGGCCCTTCAGGGCCCGCCCACGTCCAGCTCTGCTGGACACCGCTGCCTCCCACCCCGACGCGCTCTTGTGGAACCCTATGTACACATGACTCCATCCTCTGGGCAGAGTCCTCCGCTTCGATGTGGACACCTAGCTGAAGTTAGGCCAAGGGGAGTCTTTTTCCCTGACAGGAGGTTATAGAGAGAAGGGACTTAATTCTAAGAATTAAGAGAGAGTATACCTCTAGATGAGTCAAAGGGTTGTGGGGGAGGGGTAGATTCTCTTTCTTAAGAATTTGGAACTGGGGACTGAGCTGGCCAGCGTCAGATAGTGAAAGGTCAGTGCTATGGCTGGCCAAGGCTGCACTCAAGCTCTAGTTCTGAGGAAGTAAGAAAAAAGGTTAATTTGGTCAAATATGGTACCATATCCTTACAGTACAAGGGTCCAGGCTGTTATGAACGAATAACTTTTTGTAGCTCAAATAATCATCTGCCGATTCCGACCCAGTCGAAGAGAAACTACAATCACCAGCAGAATAAGGACGGCCAGAAAGGCATCCACGCTGTGATCAGGGCCCAGGTCCAGCCGGAGATGCCCAGGGAGGCTGCCCTGGCACCCAGCAGCCCATTCCCCCAATGAGGTATGCTCAGCCTCCATTCAAGGCTGTCCCAGGGTCAATGCCAAATGGAAGCAGAGGACAGGAAAATGGGGTGAGGACACACCCCACTTTCTCTTCCCCTCTCAGTAAAGACATCAGCCACCGTGTAGTCACTGGGGACTTACAGCAGGCCAAGTCCCATGCCCTCCGCCAGGTGGGGATATGTGACACAGCCACTCACACACAGAGAATGACACTGGGCAGTGGGATCCACTGAGCACTGCGTGAGCTCTGAGCTCTCAGATGAAAGAAACTAGAAGGCTGGATTAGAGGAGAGGCCTGGCTCCTGGGAGGAGACGCAGGGTATGGACATACGGCCGCTCAGCCCCGAATCCACCCTTCTTCACCTGTGTTGTAATACTGGAGCTGGACTGTGTCATTTCTCCACTGTCAGGTGGCTCATTATTAGGTTCTGTCAACAGGGGCCCTGGAGGGATACTGGGAGGCCACAAGAGAGCAAGAAGTCTCCCTTGCTGGTCCAACTATGCCATTTTCAGCAGAGCAGCCAGTGGGTCAATGGCTTGGGAGTACCCATTTCAGTGGCCCTCCCAGACCAGCCCACTCTAAATTTTTCCACCACCTAGTAGGCCCATCCTATGGACCAACTCAGACCCACACTCTCCAGCAAGTGTTCTAACCGCCCAGCAGGCCACGCCTACACATCAGCTCCGGCTTATTCCTCCTATTGATTTCTCTGCCACCAGGCAGGCTGAGCCCATGGACCGTGTCTTCCGCCATGTCTCCCCACCACCAGGGAGGGAGGCCCCCCAGCTCAGTCCTCAGCTCTGTCTTTGTTCTGTCCCCTCAGCCCTAGAGAGAGCAGCTGCTTTGTGTTTCTGTTACTTCTGTACCCTTAGAATCTTCTTTTAATCCTTCTAGGAATTAACTGTCTTTTACTAATTAATAATCCTTTACATTAAATTTTCTCCATTCAAATCACCAGTGTGACTAGACTAGCTGATACACGGGGTTAGCCCATGTTTTTGAATAGATTAGGATAAAAAGAAGGCATTTTAGAACAAGAGAACGCATAACAACATGCCTCTGTGTGTGTGCGTGTGCGTGTGTATTTGTTTTGATGGCCTGCTCCACCATTTTCTTTAGACTAGATTGATACCTGCATTTGTCTCTGCTGCTGGCAGCCCTTAGAAAGCATCAGCCTCACCCTGCCAAGCCCTTTTACTGGGGAGCAGAGACAGGGCTCTGCTGCCCCTCACCTGAGGCTTGAGCCAGTCCCAGATAGGGTGTCTCTTGGCACAAAGTAATGGTCACCATCAGGACACTGTCTGGGCAGTGCTCAGGCATCCTCTGGTCACACAAACCCAGGAGGCCATTCTACCCCCAACTCAACAGTTACTTGGCACATCAGCTTTTGGGGCAAACTATGTGTTCCCTGTATGCTCTGTGTACCTCAGGGAAATCCCCACATGTGCCATAATGTGTGTATTGATGGTGACTATAGGTCAAAAACCATCATCTATGAAACTGAGTAAGCATCTACTGCAAATGGCACCCAGAAACCAACTAAAGCAGCCCCAAATTCACCATCAAACAGCTTCTACACACACGCACTTGTGCATACACACACACACACACGGAGGTGAGGGACACTTACCTCCGTAAAATATTCTTTTAAGCTCAAAAAACACAAATGCTGAATAGTAGAGCAGGTACTCTAATCTCCAGGGTCCCTTTCCAGCTGTAGTTCTATAGATTTACTGTCCTTTGGGATCAGAAGGCAGACCCCACTCAGAATTTCAAGAAACCGCTGGCTTAGCGCAACGCGCCCCCTCCCCGCTTCCCGCTTCAACATCACTTCATTTGGTACCTGAAGGGGCTAAGCCTGCTGGCAGCAGGGAATACACACAGGAATCTCACAGTTCTCTCCCACCCAACATCCTTCCTCTGATCATGAGTGTGTGCCCAACGAAAGGCAGAGCTTCCAGAATCTCCTGGCTTCTGCATTCCTTTGCATCTGGTCCTTCATATGACACATCCCTTTGAGTACTTCCATAGGCATAAGCACCAGGAGGGACATGCAGGTAAACAGAAGTTAGTTTATAACAGTTCTGTTCAATAGAACGTTCTGTAACGACGAAAACGTTCGGAATTTGCGTTGTCCCATATGCGGCCACTAGCTACGTGGCTACCAGTGGCTACTGAACACTTGAAATGTGGCTAGTGTGACTGAGGAACTGAACTTTTCATTGCCTTTAATTTCATATAAATTAAATTTAAACCACCACATGTGGCCAGTGGCTATCATATTGGACAATTTGGGTTTATGAATTAGTAACAAGTATAATAAATAAATAAGAAATTTTTTATAATTTCTTATTCATTTAAACTAAAAAAAAGGTCACCCACTTCTCTCCCCTACCCTGTCTCTTGCAACCACCAATCTGTTCTCTGTATCTATTAGCTTGGTTTGCTTTGGTTTGGTTTTAGATTCTACACCTAAGAGAGATCATACAGTATTTGTCTTTCTCTATCCAACTTATTTCACTTAGCATAATGCCCTGAAGGGCCATCCATGTTGTCACAAACGGCAAGATTTCATTCCTTCAAATGGCTAATATTCCGTTGTGTATATATACTACAATTTCTTTAACCACTTATCTATCGATGGACACTTAGGTTATTTCCATATCTTAGTTATTGTAAATTATGCTGCAATGAACATAGTAGTGCATATATCTTTTCAAATTAGTGTTCTGGGTTTCTTCATATAAATACCCAGAAGTGAAATTGCTGGGTCATATGGTAGCTATATTTTTAATTTTTTGAGGAACCTCCTTACTGTTTTCCATAGTTGCTACACCAATTTACAATCTCACCAACAGTGCACAAGTTCCCTGTTCTCCACATCCTTGCCAATCTTTGAATAATCACTTATTTAGTGCCCTGTTCTAAGTACCATTCCTGGCCCACAGTAAACACTCAAATCTAGGTGGTGGTGGTGCTTGTTGTTTTTAAATCTGCGCAAAATCTATAAAATGATTTTAATATGTGTCTTTAAGGATGAAGAAATTATGTCAGAGAGGTTCAGCAATATTCCCAAGGTCCCAGAGCCAGTAAATGGTGAAATGTTGGTGTGTTCAACCATGTGCCAGGAACAAGAATCAACTGAATTTCT